TTCAATAAGGCGTCTTCCTCGCTCGCAGATTTCACTTGAAATTGGAAAGAAATTATATAACGAATTTCATGTTCATATCAGCAATGACGAACGTTGCAGTGAACACTCGGTTGTTCATATATTGTTCATTTCTTAAGCTCTAGATCTTGTATTCTCATTGCTACAGTTTCTTCAAAAATCAAAACAGCTTTGAACTTGTTTGATTTTGTTTGAGGCAGTTGTTGAAATTTTGTTTGGCTCAAAATTCAAAAACAACTAAACATGATTACGTGATTGATATGTTTGTAAAGGCCCATTTACACGGTAAGGATTAGTTGTATACGATTCTTACTCTGGCGTATGTGATCGAATAAACACGCGTACAAACGTCACATTTCGAATTTCGCCATCAGCGAATGAGCAATAACGTGGCATTAGCACTCGTTTTCATTCGTCAGAATGACAATCGTATACAACTAATCGTATCGTGTAAATGGGCCTTAATATTTCGCCCAATTGCAACGAGGAATGATGACGTGTGCACACGCGTTTATCCAATCAGATTAAAGAAATATAGCGATAGCACACGTCAGCAAATTGGAATTTGGATTTTGGAAATCGGAACTTTTTAAAAAAAAATAAAACAGCGGCTTTTTGCATTTTATAATAATCAGAGAATAGATACTATGGACTAAATCTCTCCTATGTGATTTAATATCGCCACCAATGACAATGATTAAATGAGAAAGTGAAGCCGGAAGTGTCCATTTCGTGCGATTTTATCTCTTTACTCACATTTTCGATTTGTTTCCCTACAACAGGTTTGTTGAAACTTGTTGTGACAGGACAAAAATTGTTTGTTGTGGAAAGGTTTGTCGCAGGTCTGATAACAAGCTTGCTGCAGACTTGACAAAAACAACTCGCGACAGGTCTGTTGGAACAGGTTGTAACAGACCTGTTGATTTCAACAGACTTGCTGCAAATTGTTCTATCAGACCTGTTATCTCTTGTTAGTAACAGGTTTGTAGCGGGTTGTTTCAACAAGTCGCTACGGCTCTGTTGTCAACAGCTTGCGACAGACCTGTTACCGCAAGCCTGTTACCGCCTGACGAAACCAACAGACCTGTCGCGACTTGTTGACAACTTGCCGCAAGCCGGTAAAATTAACAGCTTGCGACAGGCCTGTGAGATTTCTGGCTGTATAGGGGTGCACCGGATTTCAAATCCGGCCGGATTTAACAAATTTTCCGGCTTCCGGCCGGATTTGGAGAAAATCCGGCCGGATTTAAATTTCTGTTTTCACCTTAAAAAATTCACCAGGAATGGGATAAACCATCAATATGGCAGCTTTAAAGTTTAAAAAACACTTATATTATTATAAAATATTAAGTTATTAACAAGAAGATGTTTAAAAAAGGTTTAAACACAATCAAAAATCTAAACTGACACTAACTAAAAATAGTAAAAAACATAAACCGTCATTTTGAATACTGATTTATCCCCAATTGTCCCCACAACCTCGTTCCCAGGGTCTTTCTTAGAACGGCGCGAGGCGAAGGAAAGACCCTGGTTTCGGCTGGTCACGTGTCACCCAGATTCTGGGTGATAAATTAAAATGATACTATGGGCAGGGTGGGAGAGGAGCGTGTTTGTCGCGTTTGTAACAATATTTGCAATTTTGTGTGATGAAATTTAAATTTGCAACAAGAAATCGTGAAGAGAACTGCAATTAAAAATTAATATTTATCGTGATGTGACTTTCTGCTCTATAATCTAGTGTCGAGTTACAATTCAAGCAAGTTGGATCAGATTTCAACTTACAAAGAAACTCGCCTGGGCGGCGTGGCAATATTAAGCCTACAAAAAAAATCATATCTCTAGACCGACCAATGTGGTTTATATTTATTTAACTGTTAGTATTAAAGTATATCCTGATACTCGGATCAAAAGAATATATTTATTGATGAGATGTGGAATTGGAACGAAATAGCGAGATCTTTTGATTTCCGAAATATCGCCAAGACGCCAACTGTATCGAGATTGTTGATTATAAAGGCCTTATCACAAAACTTAAATCCCGTCAAAAGACTATAAAATTTCCTGCAAGATCTCAACGATCATGGTATATGTCAAAGTCTAGCTGTCTGTTGAAAATCTACGGTATTACAGTAAAGTCATACATCAAAGATAAGTCAAACGACAATATATTTGTCTTACTGTTTACTACTGTGTTTATACCACATTTATAAATTTTATAAACTGCTTTCGTTTTGACACAAGCTTTAATTTTCTGCTTTATATATATTCTTAATAATACAAGTGAGATTTAAATTTTTTGCTTTGTGAAATAGAATACCGTTATTTTTTAATGGACAGCTTGTATCGTCTCTATCATATCCAGGATTGCTTGTGTGTAAATACTATAGCCTACATGTATCACTATATATGCCACTATCAAATAAATATAGAAATATAATTTTAATGAACATATTGAACTAGAAATAAACAGATGATTGAGACACAATGAAAACTGTTAGTAGCCTTAGTAGAAGTAGAAAACTCGAAAATTTATGTGCATTTGTATGGCAGTCTGTGCGCGTCTGACACTGTAAATTTGTGATGAAGATTATAGCCTAGTTGTGTGCATATTAGGAAAACATTATCTGACCAAGAAAAAGGCTAAAGCCTTACTATAATTAATGAATACGAATTATGTACTAAATCCAAAATTTTAAAGATAAATCACTGACAGACATTTCTCTGTTTGGCTAGTATCAAATGTTTACATTTGCTGATATTGGGCTCTACTCCTAGGCAATACAATACAATACAATACTGTTTCTTTTAAAAATCTTATAAACAAGACGTGCAAAGCATAGCAACGTTTACAAAAAAGGACAAATCTAATGCGTGTTTTAAAAACATTAGATATGTAGAAATGGTGACCACTGAAAAGCCCATAAACGTTTGTTATAAAACCGCGCTCGAGTGTGAAGAGAGCATTGAATAATAATAACACGAGAAAGCACTGCGAGTAACGATTTGCTTGGTTTCTTGACTTGACTGTTGGTAAAAATGTAAGAATGTTCTTGTAAATTCAATGCAAATAAAATAAACAAAAATTAGCAAGTACTTTGAACTTACTCGTAATAGTTCGCAAAATTTATGTTTTTAACTGTTTGTAATTTGATACTTTCACCACACCCCCCCTCGGGCAATCAATTTTGGACGAGGCACGTGACCAGCCGATACCAGGGTCTTTCCTAAAGCCCCTGGGAACGAGGTTGTTGTCCCCATTACTGGTTTATCTCAACCGGTAAATCCGGTTCCGGCCGGATTTGAAAATTCCAAATCCGGTGCACCCCTACTTGTGACGTTATTATGCATAGGTCTATTTTACGATTTTAGTTAATTTGGTCTCTGACATGAAGTACATGCCAAGTAATCTTTGATTCTAAGTACTGCTGGCTCATGTTATCGTTATGACAATTAATATGGAGATTAGCCAGGTTTTTCCAAGTAGAAGTTAAAAGTTTAGAAGATAAAAAATTGATTTTAACTATACTTACTTTAAAAATATTTTACTGACCTGGGTTTTTTAAGTCAAATCCGTAAGCCAATAAATAAAAAAGTCTCGCTTAAGTAGAATTCTATTTTTTGTGTAGGCATTGATCCAAACAAGTCAACCATGACTGACGTTTATAGGAAATTTGGTCTAGATGGAAACACAGAGGACTTCACTGGACATGCTTTGGCTTTGTACAGAGATGATGAGTATGTATCATGAAAACAGGCTGCTTTCCAAAGCTGGCCATAGAATAATTGAAGGGCACAAAGTTGCAGACACTTCAAAATTGAAATTTTTGAAACCCATATAAAGCGAATCAGGGCAGTTTGGTACACTGTTGATATTGTTTATTCTGTGTGCACATGGTTTTCTGAGTTGGATGGCCTGATGAAAGTGATTAAACTGAAGTGTATTTTTAGCCTAGATGAGCTGATTAATTGGTTAAGCCAATTATTGGCCAATAATTGGCAAATTTTTAATAATTCGTAATCGGTCAATTTTTTCTGCGTAATCAACCACTTGCCAATTATTGACCAGCCTCTTTTTCTATCAAAAATAAATGAAAATCTGCATAGTATTCATTGTGTATTTCGCGGATGTTTAATTAACACATTACTAAAAATACATACAAATGAGATCTTGCATTTAGCTCACCTCCTATCTCAGAAATGCAATTATTAAGTCAGAAAATTAGCACTTACTGTATGTGTGTGACCCACATTATTCAAGCATCGAATTAGACTTCATTTTGGATATCTTTCAAAAATTTTAAGGAAATGTGGATTATAACATATTCCCTTGGGTGTGACAGATGTCCGATCAACTGTGCAGTTGCTAGGACATTGACTAGTAGGCTAATGATCGGCCAGATTTTTATATTTGCACTCAACTTGACTTCAGTTTCGGTGAGCAGTCCCAAAGATTAGTGCAACTGAAACGTTCTATAGAACCTATAGGTTCCATGGGTATTATTTTGTAATTTTGTGCATGTCTGCTACCGTATTCGTGTGATGTGATTTTATTGCTTGTCACAGCGTTTAACTGATGTCACATACACGAAAACGAGGCTCTATAGCCAAAGTGACGTACTTTCCGGAAGGGTGTATTCAGGGCTGCAAATTACTGTCGGACATAGGACAATGTCCGACTAAATTTGGCAAATGTCCGAGCAAAAGTAATTTTGATCGGACATTGGTCCGATCACAAAAAAAAATTGTCACATACATTTTTTTGCTGTGACAAAATCCGATTGCAAATTTGCATTTTGCAATAAGGCATTCTAGCATTTTACTTAACGTTGCCCCGGAATGGCTATACATACTTGTCTCGTGACTTATATATATCTTGTGATATATATATATGTCCGACCAAATTTAGTGATATTGGTTTTTGCCCGACCAAATTCAAGTTATGTCCGACCAAAATTAAAAGTGATAGGACAAATGTCCTGTCAAGTCAAATATTTATTTGCAGCCCTGGTGTATTGGCCATGTAGTGTTTTTGTTTGGCAAATAGCCGATTGCCAACCATTATTAAAATCACACTGCTAAGATAAAGAGAAAAACTTGCTTGACCACCTGTTTTTAAAACTTACTTGACCACTTGTTTAAGTTCAAACTTTTTTCTAGGTATAAATCTCAGCCGTGTAAAGAAGCTTTATTGAAGATCAACCTGTACAGGTATTAATTGCCATTAATTTTGTACAATCATTAATATTTTCTGTATTATAATAAACAAGACGCCTGCTCAGGCATTCACGCTGGCCTGAAAATGGCAACTTTCGCGGAGGGTGTAATGTGTAGTAGAGAAGTAGATAGGGATACAGGGGTCTGGACCATATAAATACAACCAATAAATACAATCATGATTAGAAACTATCAACCATAATATAGCAAGACGCCGGCTCAGGCGTACCCTCTGCCGCTCTGGCTACGAGCAATTCAACCTGACAAGCCAGGCCCACTGTCACTATGATCATCAACTATCAACCGTAAATAATGATGCGTCAATAATAGCGAATAAATTCTATAGTCCTTGATTTTTAATGCCATTATATGGCTCGTTTCAGGTGCTAAAAAGTTTATAGACATAGACGATTATTCTAAAAAATACGCCAATTTGCTTCCAGTTATAAGATAAACTGATCCCAAGCCCTTCTCTAACCCCAACCAGTAAACATCTAATAAACAATATGAGATTTAAAAAGGGGGGGGGAGTTGGATCTTGTTCCAAAAACAAATCGAACCGTACTACGTTTCACTTCCCCGCACGCAACGCCACCTCGCTGAAACTACGTTTCACTTCCCCGCACGCAACGCCACCTCGCTGAAAACAATCGAAAAATACATTCATTTTTATAGTATTAAATATATGATGAAATGGAAAGTAATTTGGTGCGAATTAATGTAATTGGGTGCAAATATATAATTATTGCAAATGAACACAAGTGCGCCACGCTTGTTTTAATATGAGTCTACAACGTATATTTATACTTGTTAATTAAAAAGTCAAACTGTCAAACCTTTAACTTGTCCTTGTTTAATATATTTCCGTATATTGTATAAATTCATTGGGTCCAAATTTTGGGGTTTTCGAGTCGTTACACAAAGAAAACACATTAATTCAACACGCCAGAGGGTCCAGAATGCGACACAACGTATTTTTCATAGGAAACCGGCACAATTCTTTGAAAATTCAACGAAACTGTGTGAAATATATATTAGATCGCTCAGTGAAAAGCCGCCATTTTGAAACTGAACTGAATATGTCACTGGAGCTCTCTATTCTTGGAGTTCGGAATTGTGCGCGTGCGTACAAGTCTATGGGCTAATAAAATCGAAAAATTAATGTACCACAAGCATGGCATGTGCCGGCTATTACGTACATAAATACGAGCTTGTTACTGTAGTATATAAATCATGGAACCGAGAAATCGACGCCATTTTGGCTTAATCGTTGCAGCCTGAGCCTGCGATGAGCTAACGCAAACTCGATTTCTCGACTACGAAAAAAAACTTGAAAAAACAGAAAGAGGGATTTAAGACACTTGGCCTACAGGCCAGTGTAAAAATCGTTGTAAACGCAAAAAAGGAAGTCGATTAAATCAGTACATTGGTAGAAAACCAAACAGTTGTCTTCAAGCAAAACTTAAATTTGAACACTAGTTGACTTTAAATATTGGGATGCCAACATGGCATAACATTGAAAACTTGTAAACAATAGCCTTGCAATAATGATGTTACACGAACATCTTAGACTCAACCAAAAGTTAATACAAAGTTGCAAAAAAACCAACTCTAACATCATAAAAGAAATAAATGTTACTCTTGACTAGGCAGGTTGAGGAACCTCGTACCCAAGCTTTTTCCCCTACGCACCTTAAGGGGGTCTTCCACCCTAAAAACATTTTTTCAAATTAAAGGTTTTATCATCATATTTGAGTCAAATATGATAGAATATCCTCAGCTGACACAGGATCAGTAACTTTTACATTCGTCGTTGCCATAGTAACTAAGATAGGCCTCGCTATAGGGTAAAATATAGGGTTTGCTCCAAAAATGATGGGAGCCAAACTAATTTACCGAGGATTTTAGAAACAGCTTTAATGGACACTTAATACATCGATCTATGTCATGAACCTAAAAAAATATACAAGTAATATAATAAGGCCTTCATATTTTACTTTTTTAAAGATATATGAAGAAAGGAGTTCTTATAAGGCTACTCTTGCAATGTATATTGCTGATATATGAAGTTTTTTAGGTCCATGACATGGCTATGTAACTAGCAAATAAACTCTGAAAATTTCGAACGAATTGATTCAGTATGAACAGTAGGAGAGTTTTTAGTATTTCGCAAAATGCTCATGTGAGAAAAGCGATTTTAAAGTTTTTGATATATTAGAATAACTTAGATAGAACAATATAATTGAAAATGGAACAATAGACTAAACCAATCGCATATCTTTATCGCTCCGGGTAAAATCGTGGTTGTACCCTACAAAGGTGTAGAATTTGCTGGATTTCTCTGGTTTACGGTACATTTTCGTTCTTAAAATTACACGGATTTTATAAAGAACGCTATAAAGACTTACTTTACGTTTTTCTAAAAAATAACAAATATTGGAAAATTTGGGTGGAAGACCACCTTAAGCGAGAATCGTCGAGGAACGAGCCTGGGGTACGAGGTTGAGTTTGGCAGGATGATGATGTTGTGCTTGTTGTTATGTAGTACAACATTTCCTAACGCTGGCTATAGCAGCTTTATTGTCTAAAGAATCTTCGTTCTATGGTATGGTAGCTCAATTAGTCTGGTCCTCAATTAGCCTTTCTCACGATGACGAATATCCGCCATTTTTGGGTAGCATCTAATTTTCGTTAACCAATGCAGACAATTAAAACAATGTGAAAAGCAATTTTTCAAAATAAACTAACCATATACAGAGCAAATTTGCCATCATTTGTCCAAAAATTATAAAAAGTCGCTGTTATGTGGACTTATCTCTCTTATCTCAGACAATTTATCGGATGAGCTACATGCATCTTTTGATCTTTTCTGTGCTGAAGTTTATCCAGTCACTTTTCAACAACTTAAAACAATTTAATATTTCAACATATCCCTATTACAAATATTTTAGCAACTCGTTGGCTCGTTACGGCAAGTCTCCCTACCTCTACCCACTGTATGGCCTTGGAGAGCTCCCACAAGGCTTTGCGCGCCTCAGCGCAATCTACGGAGGAACATACATGTTGGACAAAGCTATCGAGGGTTATACGTATGATGAGAATGGCGCCATCAATGGTGTGACATCGGAAGGGGAAACTGTCAAGACGAAATGTGTTATTGCTGATCCAACTTATTTCCCAGACAAAGTGAAAAAAGTGGGCAAGGTAGGATTTGTGCTTTTAGTAAAGTTTTAGCTATCTTTGCTTAGACTATGTATTATGTAGTTTAGTTCTCGATATGAGCAAAATTACAACGTTAACGGTGCGATACGTTCTGTGCATCCTTATGGTTCTACATTGTACATCCTTATTGTTTTACTTTACTCTGGTGAATACTCATGAATACTTATGAAGTTCATTATTTGGGGTACTAAAATATTAATTGTACATTTTCGTACATAATAATATTTAAAATACTCATTAATAATGCATAAAGCTTGTGGCAAATCATGTCAACCGTAATATGTCACGTGGAGTGACTTTATATCTGATAAAATACATGTGGCATTATATAAGTGTTCATCCCAATTAGCATGATTATATAATGGTTCATCCTAATTAGTATTCTTTTGTAGTCGTATTTTAAGCTATTCAAAACACTCGTTGTCGTGTTTTATCAGATATAAAATGCTCGGCTGCGCCTCGCGATTTATATCTGATAAAACACTCCTACTCGTGTTTTAAATAGTACTTAATATAAATTAGTGTTTTTGCACAAGTGAACATAACAAATCCTACAAGTTGATTGGTCAAATTTGACGTATCAAGCTGTTATATTCACCTACAGGTGAATATAACAAAACAAGATGGTGGCTAGCCGAAAGTTACTGATAAAGAAATAAGCGAAATTAAAATGAATTCAGTCCCCAAAAACACAAAAGACATGTGTAAAAATACTAAAACAATTATTCACCTCAGGCTCGGTGATTATCGGGGAATATTCACCTCGACTTCGTCTCGGCGAATATTCGCCGATAATCACCTCGCCTTAGGCGAATAATTGTTAAATATTTAATATTTCTATTGAGCAAATTAACATGTTATTATACATTCAGTAACCTGAAACTTTGAGTTAGACGAAGGAGCTAACAGAAACACAAATAGTCCCATCCTATCTGTCCACATGATTGGACAATAGTTATTCACACAGAAAGTTTTGTAAAGATCTTGTGCGAAGTTTAGTAAAAACAACTGTTGTTCTTCGGAAACGAATAATTGGATGTTGTATTTTTATCTAGGTTGCTCGTTGTATCTGTATACTGACACATCCCATACGAGACACATCAAATTCTTCATCATGTCAAATCATCATCCCGCAAAACCAAGTTGGACGAAAATCAGGTAGAGTAAAAAACAGTTTATGTTTTGGTATTACTGATTGAAAATGAGATAGTCATATATAATATAACAATTGTGCTACAATGTGACGCCATAGGTTTAAATAGGTAATATGTATGGTTGTAGATCTGTGCGGTTCCAAAAATTTGATCTCGGTTCCGGGTTTTTTGGAACAGAAAAACGTTTGGTTCGGTTTCGGTTATTTTCAAAAAAGATGAACAGTACATATGTATGAACTCTTTTATGTATGTTTCGAGCATTTTTACGAGATGAATTTATGCCTTTGTAAGTTTGTATAAATCTCTGAATATTTTAAAAGAACGATCTAATGGATTGTGTAAAATAGTATCCCAGTTATGTGACATGTAATTTGTTGTTCTGTTAGATCGCTTAGAGTTAGATGTATTTATGTTTATATTTATTTATTGTAGTTAGTTTCACGTTCACGGCCACATCAGCTATGCTGTAATTTACCATCGTGTTTAAATAGATGCTTTTATAATTATTATTATTATCATTATTATCATTATTATTATTAGTACTAGTACTATATAAACCAACCTCCCTGCCATTTTAATTTCCCATCATTACCGATGGACTGATTTCTCTCTAATCATTGGATAAAATAGACACACGTAGGAACGCACAAGTTGTTACAAATCTGCAAATTGCAGGGTTCGTACAAAACTTGAAAATCCTTGAAAGTCCTTGAATTTGGAAACAAGAATTCCTTGAAAGTCCTTGAGTTTTATAAAGAAGTGCATGAAAGTCCTTAATTGTTCTTGCTTTAGTGGATATTTTCTGAAATTGTTTGACAGTAAGATTATTGGACCTTTTTGAATCGAGTTTGTTCATGCATGTTTCTTACGAAGTCTAAAGCTGTTTGAAATTAAGTTGCCGTTTGAACAGTTTAACGTCATTTTTTACTGATTTCTAACGCCTTCTTTTCAGTCCTTTAGTCCTTGAATTTCCTAACATATGGCCTTGAAAAGTCCTTGCATTTAACTCTTCCTGATCTGTACGAACCCTTATTATAATTTTTGTCAAGCCGACATCATGATGTGATCGCACTACTTCTTCCCAGTCGTTGTGACAAGTCTGGAACAAGTTGTTATTACCTTGTTACAAGATTTATGACGGTAACAAACTTGCTACAAGTTGTTCCAACAAGACTAATACAGGCTGTTCGTAACAGGTTGCTACGAGCTTGCTGTCATCAACTTGTTGACAACTTAGTCCGTGCAGACGATATTAGACTTGTTGGAACAAGTCTGATGTTTCAATATGATAAACTTTCTTCAGACTTGCCAACAACTGGGAACAAGCAGTGCGAGCACAGGTTGTTGAACACAGCTTGTTGACAAAGTGTTGTTGAACACAGCTTGTATCAGAACATGTGCCGTTATGACTATAGATATAAGTTTGAACAATGACAGTCGATAAACAATTATCTTAGCCGAACATAAGCTGCAGGAAATGTAATGGAGAACATCATTTGCATGCTCTAACCTGGAATTTTTACTCTATTGATACCTCATTCGTTTGGATATTCTCTCATTAAAAATTAGATCACAGAAGTTAGATCTCCATTCCACCACAGCCTTCTCCATTCAAACTTTGTACAAATCACTCATCAGAATTCAGAATGTGAATATCATATATCAGAATTCCAAGACACTAATGGGGTTGTGGCGGGGGAGGGGCGGGGAGGAGTGGGCAACCGCCGCCCCCCATCAATAATGTTTGAAGGCCTTTGAATGGTAGTTGAATGACTGTTTAACAAAGCTGTAACGTTAACGTAACTTTGTTACCATGAAAACATTGATAGGCTAATAATTAAGCTATCTATTGCATGAAATTTAACTTCAAAGAAATAAGATTATAAAATAACATGTATATAACGCGTATTCTGATTGGTCGAAAGCCGTGTTTGGATCAGGCCATCCAAACACGGAAGACTACCGTGTTGTTGTTATTTTATAAAACAATTACTTTATGGTTTCCGTGTTTGGATGGACTGATCCAAACACTTGGGAATGTTGCTCGAGTTAAGAAAAGCGGGCAAAATCACTCGCCTTCGGCTCGTGTTTCGCTCGCTTTTCTTAACTCTCGCAACATTCCCGCGTGTTTGGATCAGGCCATCCAAACACGGAAACCATAAAGTAATTGTATATTCCCAGCTACAAAAGGTGGCCATATGTTGGCAACATAATTCGCTCCTAATATTTTGCGAAGTGTCCGCCACTGAGGGGGAACAACTCCCAACTCTCACACTACATTCCTAGAGGGATTTCGTCGCCTGTATGGTCTAAATCCGTCGCTTATAGAGCATGCTGATTGTTAGATACATTAGACGTATGAGAACCTGGGCACTAGTTTACTTTATGTTCTTTTATCATAGATAGGAGTCTGTCCATTTCATGCGTGCATTCAGTGTCATTGCTTTATTTTATCTGAGACTAATATAATATAAGTTCGCAATACGGCATGATAAAAGAACATAAAGTAAACTAGTGCCCAGGTTCTTATACGTCTAACATGTATCTAACAATCAGCATGCTCTAGCTTGCTGAATAGAGCGTTTGCACATGACGTCATAGCCGCCATGTTGGTGTTCCAATTCAAAAGATTTTAATTTGACTCTTTTGTCTGGAACACCAACATGACCGCCATGGCTTTTGTTGAGTTGGTCCCTGGGAAATGAGTGCAAACGCTCTATAGTACAAAACTACACCTACCAATGTCGATATGAATATAAGAGACGAGTGCTTTAAATCTGATAAAGCACGACTGCTTAAAATGACTGCAAAAACTCATTAATAATTCAGGAGGAAAACACAAAGAAAAATCATAAGCGTGTCGTGGTTTTATATGTGATAAAAAATCACGTTAATTTACATAAACTTTAGCTTCGATTTTCTCGGTTTAGACAAAGTTTATTTTAGAAATTACGTCGCCAATGAACTCGTATTAGATGAGTCGTTTTTGAAGCTATTTAAAGCACTTGTAGTCGTGTTTTATCACATATAAAATACTCCGCTACGCGTCGTGTTTTATATGTGATAAAACACTCCTACGCGTGCTTTAAATAGTACTTAAAATCCGACCCATTTGATGAGTTCATTGGCGAAGTAATTTTAAAAATAAACGTTGTCTGAGCCGAGAAAATCAAAGCTAAAGTTTCTGTAAATTAACGTGATTTATTTATCACATATAAAACCACCGACACGGTAGTGATTTCCTTTGTATTTTCCTCATGAATTATTAATTAGGCTTTGAAGTACTATTTAAAACATGAGCAGCAGTGTTTTATGAAATACAAAGATACGAGGCGAAGCCGAGTATCTGTAGGTCGGATAAAACACGTACTGCGAATGTTTTAAATTGCTTAAAAAACAATCGATCTAGTAAATTTTCAAAAGATATGTTGTGTAAGTCGAGAATATCAAAGTTAAAGTTTGTAAATCAAGGGAAATCTCTATCACATATAAAATACGACACGCTTATGATTTTTCTTTGTGTTTTACTCATGAATTATTAATGAGTTTTTGAAGTACTATTATTAGACCTTAACCAGGAATAGCTACGAAAAATGAACACTTTCATCTTTCTAGATATCTATGTTTGCTGTGTGTCTAGCTCTCATCATGTATGTCCTAGTAACTTTTACGTTGCCATGGTGAGCACGACTGTCGAGACAGACAATCCCGAAGCTGAACTGAAACCAGGCTTGGATATTCTTGGTACCATCGAAGAAAAGTATGTGCCCTTTCCATATAGTAATATCACTAATATGACCAGAAAATTTTGCTTTTTCCTGTTTTCCTTTTTTATATTTATATCCTTATTTTAATATATTCCTTTTTTATAGGTTCTTGTCCGTTGATGATGTTTTTGAGCCAACAGATGATGGGGCTACCAGCAAGGTTTGTTACTTAGTAATTTTATCGAGCATTCTACAGTGAGGGGCCGGTCATTATTTATGGTGGGGGTGGAATTTTGCTGATCCAACCATTAAAAAAAAAAAAATTACCCAACCTTAAATATCAATTAAAAAATAAATACCCTGGCCAAAAACTTGGAAGGTACTAAACGATACCATTCAGTTGTCACACATGTCCTTTACCACTTCTGTGACACGAGTCTGATAACTGCCTACTGCGCAATTTTCCGCAGTCTAAAGTTTCATGTTGTCTGCACATGTACTTTCTTTGGCCTGACCAATCGGAAAATGATCAAGATAGTGACTCTGATTGATATACATATTGTATTGACATATGAATGCTAACATTGCTTTTTAGTCTTCAATATTTGAGTCGTGCTTTGGAAATGACAATAAATTTTTGAACACAAATTACCCAATCACGTTTAGTTTAAGGACTAGCAGGGCTTTCAGCATAAGCCGCCAGCGGGTGGCACGAGGTTTTCCAGCGGTTACTTTGTTTAGTACTTGAAATATCAATTCCCCTTTTTTTCCTCTACTCGCCTGGTCTATTTTATAGCGTGGTTAATTTCGAAAACCACGTCCTATTTCATTTAACTGATTCAGTTATTTGCCATCTTAAATCTTCAAGTTATCTTGTTGAAAAATGAGGGTAGAGATACATTATGTACTAGTTAAAGCATAAGCAGTTGATCTTTATCTGATATACAAACTCGAGCCGAAGACGAGAGTTTGTATATCAGACAAAGATCGGATGCGAATGTTTTAACGTACCGGTACTTAAAAAACGACCCATCTTATGAATTCATTGGCGAAGTAATTTTAAAAATAAACATTATCTAAGCCGAGAAAATCAAAGCTGAAGTTTATGTAAATCAGGACAAATCTTTATCCGATTTACAAACATTGATTAAACATTCATTTCTTTTGAATTTTCTTAGGGCTCAAAGTAGAGAAAAAATATGGCCTGCTAGTCTAAATTTTTTTGGCAGGTGAAATAAATTTTAGCCTGCCATTTTTATTCGTTGAACTGCCAAAATGGCGATTTCTCATAGGGGTCATATTGTATAGGATGTGCATTTTATTACTTTTAAACTTGTCTATTTCACTACAGTAAACTTGAAATTACTTTTCAAATATAAACGTATTTAGTCACCTGAAGAGCTCAGTTGTGTTGCTATCTAATCAATATACTTTATCAACACAGCCACCTACTATTCTGAAAGTATATAACAATGATTATTTATTGCTAAAAAGTCGTGCGATCGAAACATGTGCATCCGTACAGCAGACGTGATTGCCTCTCTCTAACCAATTTTAGGTGTTCCTGACGAATTCTTACGACGCGACAACTCACTTTGAAACGACCTGTCAAGATATCTTGGCCTTGTACAAGCGATGCACTGGCGAAGATATAGATTTTTCACAAGTACAGAAAGATTTGGAGAGTGTCGAACAATGAGTATGCTTTTACCACCTGACTGCCCTGTAATTGTCACGTGAAAATCACGTTGCCTCCATCTATTTGTCATGTGTTTGTCACTTGATCGCTATATGTTTGCGCATGTTTGCTACAGATGTTTATCATTTGACCGTGATTTGTCACGTGATCTCCGTTTATTTTCCATGTGTATGTTTGCACATTCTTGCATTTTGCACATGGTTTACATCGTAATAACACGTGATACTTTACCACATAACCATGCAGCGCAACTGATTTTCACGTGAACATAAGTGTCATATCGAAATTTGGGAAATTACTATGTAACTGGATAGATTTGGTTAAATGCGACTTTAAAATCACAGATTAGGTTAGCAAAGTAGAATTCTTTAATTAAAAAATGCAATTGAATAAATGTTATAAAAACATTCAAATGTTGCAGAGCTATATTTAGCAACGAACCATAGCTCTTTAACTCGAAAATGGGTGTACAGTAACAGGGCTGCCGAGAGAATTCGCGGGGCCCGGGGCAAATCTCCGGGGGCCCCATGACATCGTTATTTTTAAGCTAGACCCAAGTCAGTCAGCCACTGTAATGGGTCCTCAATTTCAAGAATGTTCTGACCAATTTAAAGAACCTACTCAATTTCTGGCTTTCGCTCTTAAATTATTTAGGTGGGGTTCCGGGGCAATTTGCCTCCACCCCTCTTGGCGGCCCCGTACAGTACACCTACCTCAGCACAGGTCCCAATTTGCGAAGGGCGCACTTAATTTTTCGAAGTTATGGTTGGTGCCAAATGTAATGGAAAATGCAATATTATATATATATATTCTATATTGCCATAATACTATTATACTTGACATTACTATACATCTATGTTAAATGGGCAATTCTAGCTATAGACTAGAGGTAAGAAGAACAAAATCCAAGTTTTTTTTCAAAAAGTGGCCAGAGTAAAGACGTTAACTTTTGCGGTTGGAGCTTGACAACTGGACTCTGTAACTCACAGTTGGTTAGAAGCGCTGCACCGGAATCCCCAGGTTATAGTTATACTTGCATTTTTCGTATAAAATTAATTACACTCGCAAAACCCCAACTGTTAGCCACTAAAGCCTTTAAGTGAATATCTGTAAAGTTCTGCCAAAATGAAGAGATTTTAAATGTTACGCCAAAGAGAAAATGATGTCTGAGAATGAATTTTGAGAGAAACCCCAAAAAGAATTTAGGTTTTTGAACACATTCCATTGGAAATATTCGAGGATACAGCCAATGGAAGGAGGCCCCCAAATAAAAAGTTATTAACCTGGTTATCGTTCCATGTTTCACGCACCAATATAAGTTAAGCCCCGTTTACACGAGCAAATTTTATTTGACAAATTTCATATGACAAATGCATTTGATCAAAAGCTAGCATGCTAGCTTTTGTTCAAATGCATTTGTCACAATAAATTTGTCACAAATGCATCATCCACACGAGCAAAATGTCTTTGACATATGAAATTTATCAAATAAAATTTGCTCATGTAAATGGGGCTTTAGGGTTAGGTATTAGGGGTTAGGGTTAGGTTTAAGGTTAGGGATATGGTTAGAGTGTGTATATATGTATATGGAGGTATCCTGTTAACTTTTCAGTACACTGTAATATCCATTACATAACGTTTACTATATTGGTGCGCGAAACATGGAACGATTACCATTAATCTCAAATTAATACTATCCTAACCTGCGTAGTAGTCGCTTTATTTTCAGAACAATCGGAAAAGAGTTCATATTAAGGCACGTTTTCAAGCCTGCTATTTCAAATGCGATTTTCTTCTTGTGATGGATGTGAATGAGTGGATGAGTTAAGAATGTTCAGATGAGAGAACATGTACTCAGAACATTCGTAACTCGTCTGCTCGTTCACATGCGTCAGAAGAAAAAAATCGCACTAGACATCGCAGCAAAAATTGCAAGTGTACACCGGCCTTTAGCAGTGAGCTCTATATATATATATATCTGGAGTAAGAACTTCAGTCATTCGGTCAATGAGAAAAATGAAGCCAAGTCATACCATTTTCCCAAGCTAATTCCAGTCAATTCCAAGCTAATTCCACTAATCAAGTTTTCAGTTCATAAAATCACAATATTATTCCTTAAATCGAAGTCAAAATAGGAAATTTCAACACACTCCTTGCCAAGATGGCAGAAATTGAACGAGCTATTGGACGTCAGCTCCAGTCCCTTTCTATTGTTTTTGTATGCGCGGTTAACACGAAACTGGCTTCACTTTGAGCAACCAAGTTCCTACTCCAGTTATATATGGAGCTCAATGGCCTTTAGACATGGGCCTTCACACCATTCTTTGCGACGGCATTGTAAAGAAAATTCAAAATGACTAAGATAATTTGCCAAACTACCTTAGCCTGTTTCTTTCTCGAGATATTGAACAATGCTTGATATGCAAATATTCCTCACTATGACAAATTACACAATTTATGGCTTTCCGAAAAAAACTATTTTAACTCTTTTAAATATACTGGCTCTGAAGTTTTTTTGGGAAACGTCTATTGAGCACCATCTGCTGCAGGACAGCCCGCGGCGGCAATTTTCCGTTTCGTAAACCGCCAGGGTCACAAGTAACAATTGCAATCAGTGTCCCCCTTTCAGTGCGCGTCAAATCCGGTAAATACGAAATGAGATGTCCCACACGAACTCAACAGACACAAACAAAACGAAGTCACTCTATAATATCGCGATGAACGCAATAAGTTTCAATTAGAATGAACATAAAAGCATGCCATACTAACATATATTTTATATCTGATTACATCTCACTCGTAAAGACGTTGTTAATTATCCGCTGGGACAGGGGCAAAGCGAAAAACTTTCACAAAATAGATGTATTTATATCGACGCCTGCTTTGAAAGGCTTTATGCGAGGTGATAAAGAAGCTCTGTAAGTAAAGGCAATGGAAAGGTTGTTGGAAAACTGCGAATACTCGGTTAACAATTTCTACGCGACATAGTTAGTCAGTGCCATAGTCAGGACCTATTAGCCAAAAGTTTAGGTAAATGGATTTCAAAATTTCAAGATGTCAAAAAATGCTAACTTGGAAGCGAAAGTTGAAAATAAACTTAGCAAATACTCGATACTAAATTACTACCAATGCGTGTTTCATAGTCACAGGACGTGACGCACGCTGAAAGTGGTGACACTGATTGTTAAGCTTCGGATACACGAGCAATATTTTTGCTGCGATGGTTACGCAATGGGTGATAACAGCATTGCGTTGCCATCGCACAAGGTGGCTACACCTGCAATATTTCACCTGCAATATATGTCTTCATAACGCTTTTCATTGGCTGGTCAAGAAACGTGTCATTCATCAACCTTGACCTTCCTTGACCACACTTCCCAATTTTCGGCAATCATTGCCGAAAATCAAATGATTTGAAATTTCGGCAACGATTGCGCGCAGCTTTGCGTTGCCGTCGCAGAGCATGATACACAAGCAATTTCTTTCTCGCGACGGCAATGCAACGATTTTACCACCATTGCATTGCCATCGCCAGAAAAGTATTGTCCGTGTATCCGTAGCTTTACTGGTGACCGCCATGGCGGTTTTCGAAACGGAAAATTGCGCCGCAGCCCGCATTCTAACTTAACGCCTGCTATGCAGGCTAGCTACAGGATAGTGTTTGGTGAAACCACTGATCTTGAATGTAGGACTGGATAGTGCAAGCGCTATCCATAAATGAAGCCAATGGTGGCCATACTGTATTGTTGTTGTGACCACCACGAATCTACAGTGGTGGTGTTGTCTTTTTAGAAAAGGTTTTAACAATTTCTCGTTATTGTTGGGAAAGGAAATGTATTGTCTAGATAGATATTGCTCATCATTGGCCACTATTTCGTCTCGAAATTGCAGGTGAATAACTAATGAGGTCAGACCAATGTGACTGCCTTGAGAGTCTCGTGTCTAGCGTATAAAACATCCTGAAAGTGGTGCAGAAAGTTATATCTTTCAGGCTATACACAGGAAAAGACATTTGCTTGGTAGTTAAGCTAATTTGAACACCTAACAATTCGATAGGTGAATAAATTTAAAAATCTCTTCTCACCACCAACACCCAGGCTTCAGAATTGGCTCACTGAAATCGAAAAATATTCTATCCAGTCTTAGTATTCACATCAGCGGGTGAAACCCACCAATAGCGACATGATCTCCATTCATATCATGTTTTGTTCAACATATTTCTGTGTTTGTGTAAAATTGCTCGACGCGTTTAGTTCTCTATTTGTTGATCATATAAAAGTAAGTATTGTCTATAGTCTCTTAGAAACAAATATCCATGATAATATTTTACATTCAGTTTCTATTCATGACGATGGTAACTTTTGTGAAAGCCACTCCAATCCTTCATATAGACCAGTTCCTTCTGTAGCAACGCAAGTTTGAATATACCACTAAAAGAACAAATACACTTGGTTTAACAAAAACACTGAAACATTGATTTCCAGGAGCCGCTTGCATCAAAAAGTAGTTAAAGTTAACTGTGGCTACTGAAAAATCAACCAATCAGAATCGTGCATTTTACTACAATTTTACTACAAAACGGATAGTTAAAAAGGTGGGAAAAAAAGGCCCGAAAATCTATCGGACTAGTTCCCAGAAATTTTTTGGGATCCACATTTTTGCAAAAAATTTCAGACATTTTTTTTATGTTTGACATTTTTCACATTTTTTATGTATGTTATGTATGTTTTTACTAAAAAGGGAAATGAACATACACGAAAGGACGAATCTGATCAGTTTTTGTATGGGAAGTAATTTTAGATGTTGTCAGTCCAATGTAAATAATACCATGGTCGTATCAGCAGGAAAATATAAGCATGTATATTTTTGTCAATGCGGGCATGTTTTGCCCGTGTTAAATCGACAAATATTCAAATGGAAAGAGATGTCCTTTAGCACGTCACAATATCAAACGAGGTTGAAGAAGGGTAATAGGAACATCAGTATCGATTTGTAAATGGTATAGACGCAAGTTGCCCACTGTCTGGCCGAGTAACCTGAGTTGTCAAGGTGTCTTGTCCTGGCATTGTGATTCGCATACATCAGGGATATTTTCAAGCACTTTTCTAATACCGGTATACGGTAGCAAATACTCAATCTTCAATTGAGTTTTGAAACTCAATCTTCCTCCACAATGATTTTTTTCACAATTTCACATTTTTATGTAAATGTTCCATTAAAAACCTGCTTTTCTATATAATTTTGTCCAAAAAGCTGTCGAAAACTGTTTCACTTCTGAGACACAAAATCTCGTAGAGGAATACTCATGCCCATGCACACTAGAAATGTGTACCACAAAGTTCACAAACAGGGCCGCACATTATCTATTTTGAGAAATAGTTCAAAAAGTTGGACCCAAATGAACCATTTGTTGGTCCCGATCGTCCGGTGCAAACATTACGCAAAATTTTTGTTTCTGTGAGATTTATTTTTTGGAAAGTGTCCAAAAAATAATAAGTAAGGTTACAGAAAATTTTGCTAATTGCCATTATACACTGCCTGATTCAACTTCCTTTCTGTGCTGTACAGTTAACTGATGGCCAAACTAGACTTTGAAAATGCCATTTCCGACGATCTAGAGATTTCAAAATTTCAAAACATTTTCGGCTCGGCGCCAACCATGGTGGCGTCTCGTGTAACTCCCACTTCCAAATTGTAAACACGTAAAAAGTTGGTCCCGAAATATTTTACACCCCTCCAAAATATTTTGGAATGTGCGCCCCTGAACACAAAATTTTTTAACGTCCTCGCCCCAAAAGAAACTCAATCTTAATTTCTGAAAAACAGTAGTAGACTAAACTGCTTGAAAATATCCCTGATACATGTAAAACATATCTCCTTGCAATTTGAATATTTATAGCGCAGAATACTCTAATAATGTCTGTGCTTCTGACAATATTATTATATATTTTTCTGTCGACATGACCAGACATAATTTTCATTCGCTAGATGACACTGACAATATCTTAGATTCGTCCTTTGTTTTATGATTTTCTCTCTTTTTAGTTCACGCACGTGTATATTTTTTTACTAAGACGCTACAAAAGGTGTCCGAAAATATGCAAATTTGCTTACGTGTAGGGTCATACACAGGCGGCCCAGACGCGTATCAGTGTATAGTAAATATATCATTATAAAATATATTAAACAATAAAATTTGTAATGAATTTTATATTTTAAAATCATATTTACTTGCCTACTTTGATTGTATGTGATCGTCTTTTATTTCTGAGCGACTTTACATTCGATGCCTGCGACTGTCTTCATAGGTGATAGTATTGAAAGCAAAGGCTAACGATTCCAGTTCTCAAACAGCCGACACGAACAATTTAAATCGAAAAATATCCCCTTCAAATTGCTTTGTTCCCGGTAAAACTTCGCCAGCGTATAGAATAAACATCCATCTTCCAACATACAACGCAATATTAACACGTCCTATAATTTTTGCAATGGATTTTTAGCGAAATGTTTCGAGACTAAAATTCTATGGAACTTAGAAAGCCCGATAATTACTACGGCGCCTGCTTGGCCACCTAGCCTCCTTTACCGTTTGGATTGTCAGGGGGGATTCAAATAAAAAACACCTATTTCCGGCAACAGCCAGCCAATCAACGCCGCGATACCGACTGTTTACAATGTTTGAAATCTGATATTGTAATTTATCAACAACAAAACTCTTTCGATCGATCGATCGTATAGTATAAGATAGAAAGAGGGCTTTTGCAAATTACAATATCAGATTTCAAATATAGTAAACCGTCGCTATCGTGGCATTGATTTGCTGGCTGTTGCTGCTGCTGCTGTATACAATCGAAAGAGTTTTGTTGTTGATAAATTGCAATATCAGATTTCACATATTGTAAACAGTCGGTATCGCGGCGTTGATTGGCTGGCTGTTGCCGGAAATAGGTGTTTTTTATTTGAATCCCCCCCTGACAATCCAAACGGTAAAGGAGGCTAGATGGCCAAGCAGGCGCCGTAGTAATTATCGGGCTTTCTAAGTTCCATAGAATTTTAGTATCGAAACATTTCGCTAAAAATCCATTGCAAAAATTATAGGACGTGTTAATATTGCTTTGTATGTTCGAAGATGGGTGTTTATTATATACGCTGGCGTAGTTTTAGCGGAAACAAAGCAATTTGAAGATTGAATTGTTCGTGTCGGCTGTTTGAGAACTGGAATCGTTAGCCTTTGCTTTCAATACTATCACCTATGAAGACAGTCGCAGGCATCGAATGTAAAGTCGCTCAGAAATAAAAGACGATCACATACAATCAAAGTAGGCAAGTAAATATGATTTTAAAATATAAAATTCATTACAAATTTTACTGTGTAGTATATTCTATAATGATATATTTACTACTGATACACTAATACACGTCTGGGCCGCCTGTGGATAAAGCAAAAAATTATTAGAGACAAAGTGACATACAGTAATTTGAGTAATAACATGATGATAAGCGAAATGTGAACAACAATTACAATTTAAATACAGTAGTCAAGCAGGACTTTGTGGTAGTGAAGCAAGTTGATGGGCGGGTGGCACCAGAGCTGGCAGACCCCCCCCCCCCCCTACTAGATCATACTGCCATGGGGATGCACCCCCCTTAACATTGGCAAAGGGATGTAAGGTGGGGGGTATTTCATCAAATAATTTTTTTTTCAATTTGGAAAGGCAATATCCTGTCACCATTACCACAATAATACCCTCACTGCTGTGTGTAGCTACAAATGATTACGGACTTGGTCAACAGTTGTACACTGTATTATATATGGGTCGATGAGCACACCCGGCCTCCATTTGTACAGACAACTTATACAACACCGAAATAAAGCCAAGAACATTTTAAATTTCAAATATTCTTGCTACATCAAAAGACTGTTTAACCAAATCTATGAAGGTGCACAGTAAGGTACAGTTCAACATCAAACACTATAGGTCTTCTATTTTGTAGCTTTGAAGTTTGCAGGCTTCCAGACCATCATAATGATCATATCTTGACAGACTATTGTTTGGTCTATAAAAGACTTAGTTCCTTCATTGTCCCTCGAACAAAATCATGAAAATTTTTAGATATTAATCACAAGGCGTAAAACTGCATTACGTATAACTATAGTCTATAAACAACTCAAATAAATATTAACATTAAATTTATGTTCCTCTTCAAAGAATATTCATTGAAAAACTATTTGTTTGAAATAAGACGTTAATTATTCAGATTCACCTACTTTTGTTGGTAGGGTTTATTGTTTTACTATTTAGATATATAATATATTCTGATTGACTCGTGTACATTGCAGTTCCTTTCTTCGTTAAAAACATACTAGAACTTAAAAACATTTTGTCAAATGAACTTAAAAGTTTCCATTTTGTTTTCCTTTACAAAAAAGTTATCGATTAATGCACAAAGTTGTTAAAATTTGCTATTTCCTCTTCGAAACAAAATTGTTCGCTCCTGACAGCCGCCATTTTACATTGCACAGAAATACATAATTATGCAAAACATATGCATAAATTTAAATATTAACCTTGACGTCACAGACAAGAAATATTAACCATTGACCCAGCCATTAAGTGGGCGAGTGGCGAGAACACAACGGCTGGAATCTGAGCCTAACTTCTTCTGATCACCACGTGTACTAATCTACTTTAAGTCCAGCTCAGCATGCAAATGTATGAAATAGTGCATATATCATCGCCAATGGCGCCTAGGTATGCTGCGACCTGTAATGCTGATGCTTTGGAATGAAATAAAGAGCATTATTTACTATACTATACGTATTGTGTGTCTTTTATTACTCAGGAAATGCACCAAGATTTGAAAAATCTATTAATGAAACCAATGGATTTAAGTAACATTGAGTCGGAACCTTCGGCGATAAAATATTGCCTTTTTTCAGCATGCGCCGCGTGTTGCACTGCCGTGTTTGCTGTTATTGGAATATCTCTTGTCACTCAAAAACGTTTTCACGATTTTTCTCACAAGTTAACCATCGTTGGAATATTTTTTCTGTCACTCGCCCTGCTATCAAGTGTCATGGCAGTTGTATTCAAGAGAATATACAAATATCATTACGACCGCAAGATCATTACACGGTCAATACGCCGTCAAGTAAATAGAGACATTAACATTGAAGAAACGGGTGACTTGTAGCTACGTGGCAGTGACGGAAAGTAAAAACAAGTTACGATCTCCTCTGCCTGTAAATTTATAAACGCCATTTCACTAGAAAGTACGTGGTATGTAGTCTTCGGGACAGTTTTATTGATCTTGTCACTATTGAGAACTACGAACTGGAATGGTTTGGTCCTTTATATCTGGCAAATGGACTTCGTCCGCCGGTTCAACTAAACTATTTACTAATTCAGCTGATTCACGTATATTAAAGAGTATAGGGTCATTTATACGGGACAAAATAAGTCGCTATACTTACATAAGACGCGTCTTATATAAGCGGAGTTATCGTATAAATGGTTCTCTAGGGCTCTATAGTCTTATTTACTTGCTATAGCTATAATGTTGTTTTGGTTGTTTTTGTTTTAATTAATATACAAGGCTAATAATTGTATACATTGTTTCAAGTTTCGGGCATGTGTAGTTAGACTTTTTATGCAAAATGTCTTCTTTTAAAACGCCACTTAAATAAGAGCAGCTAAAAATTCTGTTCTTATTTAAGTCGCGTCGTATCCAAGACGCGACTTACATAAGAATTTTGTATCTTTTATACGACAAACTCGCGTCTTATTTAAGCCCCATCTTATGTTAGTCGCGACTTATTTTGTCCCGTATAAATGGCCCTATATTGTCAACCACAATGCATTTGTTTACATCTTACCTTCGGAAGTGACAAATAGCAACAAATGACGATTATAAACATTTCTTTGGTGCAATTTTAGTATAAAAAAGTTAAAATGAGCAAGTATAACCGTAGGATGGTAGTAATATATTATGGATTGAAAACCGAAACATCTATTATTCCGCTATTAAAATGGCCGCCAAGCAGGTTTGGGCGCACAATGCATTGTGGTTGACAATGACTCTTTAAATTTACCCAATTTAAAAATCTCCAATTCGTTGTGATTGGCCGGTTGGCGGTATAGTGACCCTTCGCCTGCTGTAGAAGAACTAACCTTTATTACTAAACTAACGATTATTTACATACAACTATATTGGATACTAATTAGAATATTAATAAGGTAACATGGAATATTAATGAGGACATTACATCCCTCCTTGTCACTAGTTAAAAAGTATCTTTTCTCTAATTTAAAGTAAACCTAATAATGCCTAGAAGTTTTAAATATTTCTCTCAAGATTGTCCACATATCTTAAGTTCAAACTCATATCTACGGTAGAATAATTTTTTTTTGTCTTTTCCTCGATCTTTGATTGTTCAAATAAATTGTCTAAATCATCTATGTTATTATTGTTATCTAGTTATAATTTATATACTTATCTATCATTAAACATCCTTAATTGATGGTTGTGACATAGTCCGTGAATCTTGCGGGTTGTCTTCTTTGTCGATTTGATCTTCTTAACGATTCGGTTATTTCATCTTGATTGGGATTAGCTACAGATGGTGGATTCTCAGTCTGTGCTTCGTTTCATATACCAGAAAAAATAAGCATGTACGAGGCCGATCAAATATGTTAGTCAAAATCGCATATTTTCACCTCTGTGCCTAATTAAAACAATGCATAACAAAAGAAAAAGCAATTAATCACTAACGTGTCGTAGCTAAGCTAAGATTTATTCCTACATAATAATAATTATGAATATGTGCGTAGTTTAATGAAGTGAAATTCATCAACTTATGTACCAAAGGGAGTTCATTCATGCTCGATACGAAAGTAGAGAAAATAAAAGACAAACTTGAGTTACTTCGTTTAAAACATTTATTCACGACAAATTTGGTTCGTATGGGAAACTATAAGCTTGCCACACTCATCAGGTGAATGATAATATCGCGTATTTACATGATGTTATAACCTATAGGTAACTTGAGCTATTATACAAATGTTTGACGTCATTAGGAAAGCGTAAATATATGTAACCTGAGCTATTGGCTGCAGAGCAGGAATTTTTTCCTGTGCCTACATGCGGATATTAGTTCGATTCTTGAGTTCAAAGAGCTTAATTTAGGATAGTAAATTATAATAAACTTTTCGTGCAGGCATAATTTACAGCGTTTTGTTTTGTTTGAGTAGACCTTACATTTCTTTAAAATTTTCCAGCGGATAGAGTATTCTATGTTGGATTGTTTCAACTGCCAAATATATTTACTCAATTCGGTTGAATGTTTATGTTCCGGGTTCCTGCATGAACGAGCTTGTGTGGTTGTAATATCTCACTTTAAATGGACCCGCTGTATGTCCAACGTAGATTTCTTTCTGTTGGTTGTCTCTTCTCGTTACTGTGGCTTGGTACACAACGCTTTCGGTTAAACATTTGCCAGGAAGGGGAGAGTAGTCCGTGTGTTGTGACCTCGAAAAGTGCCTAGAAAACGATTTTCAT